ACTGAAAATCTAAAAAAGACAAAAATCGAACAATAGCAAAATTGAAAATGAAAATAGAAAAAAATGAAACTTGAAACACCGAGAAATTTTAAAATTGTAATCTTAAAACTTGAGAAACTGAAAACCTCGATAATTGAAAAAACAACTGAAAATTTGAAAAACTGAAAAAAAAGAAACTCTAAAATCGAAAAACTGTTGAATTAAAAATCGAGAAATAGAAAAATACGGAAAACAAAATTTTCTAGAAATAGAAAAATCGACAAATTGTAAAATTCAAAAGTTGAAGAATGTCAAAATAAACATCGAAAAAGTGTAAAATTAAAAATTCGAAAATTGAAAAAATGAAACATTGAACAATAAAAAAATTGAAATACCGAAATGTTGAAAAAATACTGAACTGTTTAATTACAAATCGAGAAATAGAAAAATACGGAAAACAAAATTGTCTAGAAATAGAAAAATCGACAAATTGTAAAATCCAAAAATTGAATAATAAATAGGAGTAAACTGAAAAGTCCCCAAACTAAACTTTCGAGAAACTGAGAATTCGAAAGTTGAAACAGCAAGAAATTAGTTAGAAACCGGTTAGGATGTGTATCAGATCACAGATGATGGCTTATAAATCAAATCGTTTCCGAACGCTTAGAGTCGACATTGGCCTGAGTGCGCTCAGGTCTGTAGATCAAACAAGTTCTCAGACGACGAACTGTAATTCGTGCGACCTGAATTCAGGGGGACGCTAGACGAGAGACAAGTTTGAATTAGGCGCCATTTGTTGCCTTAAACGTAACCAGTAGTTCTTCTTTAAATCTACCTGACGTGCTGGGATAGACGACTACCGGACGTAGATCATAAAAACATCCTAAGCCGATAATGCAGAATAATGATAATTTATGACAGGCGGCCCACAACATACCTTCAGCACAGAATAATCATTTCTCGTATTCTTTTGACATATTAATTTTAATATTCGAGATAATTATTATATTATTCAAACACAATTTAGACACTGTAGAGCAAACAAGGCTTATCAAGCCCATCTATTAGTTTATTCGCCTAAATGTATTATTGATACCGTTTTCAAATTACACCAAAATTGAAAAATCGAAAACTTAATAATTGAAAAATTGAAACATTTTAAATGAACAAAATCGGTAAACAGAAAAATTGAAAAATCTAAAAATCAAGAAATTGAACAATCTAAAAATTAAACAATTTAAAAATCGAAGAATTGGAAAACCAAAAAATCTAAACCGAGAACTTGAAAAATCGAATAATCGAGAAATCAAAACATCAAGGCGAACAAAAAAATTAACGGAAAATCTAGAACTTAAAAATCGAAAAATTAAAATATCTATCGAAAAATTGAAAAACCGAGAAATCGAAACATCAAAAAATGGAAAAATTGAAGAACCGAACATTGCAAAATCCCAGAACTGAAATACTGAAAAACTGATGAAATGAAGAAATTCGAGAAACCGAAAATATGAAGAATCGAGAAATCGAAGAATCGATAACTTGAAAAGTCCCAATAGTAATATGTCGAAAAATTGAGAAATCGAAATCGAGCAAAACTGAAGTATCGTAAAGTTAATAAATTGAAAAACTGAAAATTTTTGAACAAAAAAATACTATCAAAAACTAAAAATTCAAAAAATCGAGAAATTGAACAATAAAAAAATCAAAATCCCAGTAAGTTGATAAATAGGAAAATTTAAAAAACAAAAATTTTTAAAATCCAAGAATTGAACAACAAAAAAAATCTAAGCCTGAAAACTCAGAAAATCAAACGATCGAGAACTCAAAACATCAAAGAAAACAAAAAATCTAAAATTTAAAAATTCGACAAATTGAAAAACCATGGAACTGAAAAATCGAAAAGTCGAGATAGTGAGAAATCTAAAAACCTAAAACATTAAAAACTGAAAAATTAAAGTATCGAAAAATTTAAAAACCGAGAAAACACAATACCAAAAATTTGAAAAATTGAAGAAACGAAATATTGCAAAATTCCAAAGCTGAAATAGTGAAAAACCTAAAAATGGAAGAAAAATTAAAGAATCGAAACAGTGAAAAAATCTCAAACTGAAACATTGAAATAATGGGAAAATCAAAAAAATTGGTCTACAGAGTTTAGACAGTACTTCCCTCGCTATCGGAAACGTGACGACTGCATGTCTATTATGTTTTTTTTTCACATTAGATTTCAAAGCATTCGGTTTTGTAGTTCCTGATTAAATCAATAAAATAAATTTGCTCATTCATTAAATTTTTTGAGTCACCCTGTATATCCGAATCCAAAAAATATGAATGGAATGATAAATTACAAGAACAGACTCATCATATTTTGTACATTTTAAATAGGATTATACGGCAAACTTTTGAGCTGACGTCATCAATTTTTTGGAGAAGATAACCAAATATATTTTGACTAAAAATTTATTATGCTCTTTGTAACCTTAAAACATTTGCAAGATTTCAAAGCATTGGGTTCTGTGTTCCTGATTAACTCAATAAAATAAATTTAGGCATTCATTAATTTGTGGAGTCATTCTGTATATGCAAATCCAAAAACATGAATGGAATGATAAATCACAAGAAGAGACTCATCATATTTTATACAATTTACATAGGATTTATTCAGCAAAATTTTGGGGTGGCGTCATCCATCTTTTAGGAGGGATGAGCAACTATATTTTGATCAAAAATTTACCATGCTTATGATAAATTTAAAACATTTCCAAGATTTCAAAGCATTCGGTTTTGTAGTTCCTGATTAAATTAATAAAATAAGTTTGCGCATTCATTAAATTTTTGAGTCATCCTATATATCCGAATCCAAAAAATATGAATGGGATGATAAATTACAAGAAGAGACTCATCAAATTTTGTACATTTTAGATAGGATTTATTCAGCAAAATTTTGAGATGAAGTCATCAATTTTTTAGAGGGGATAAGTAAGTATATTGTGATTAAAACGGTCCTGGTTTAATAACAAAAAAATATTGTTCGTCTATGAAACAAGCTCGTCTTAGACAAAGTATTCGTAAACAAAATATGTCGTAAAAAAATGTACGTATGCTGGTCCCGACTGCGTTATGGTTTAAATATTTTTTAGAAAATCCTGTCATGGATGTAGAAACATTTGTGACAGCCAAAGAGGTTTTTTTTGAGAAAATTATCTTTGAATTTAGACTAAATTGAAATAGACACTAGGCAATAGGCACATTTGGGCAAAACAAACAGAAATTAGGGTTACGGCTTCAAATTTTGGACGTATTTACAAACTTAGACCGACTACAGCAGTAGCTAAAACTGTGGAGTCTCTATTGTACAGTACATTTAGAGGTAATAGTCATACATACTATGGACAGAAAAGTGAGGAAAAAGCTGTCAAGTGTTTTGAAATAAATAAAAATATAAAAACTGAACGGTGTGTCTTGTTTATTTCAAAACAATTTCCTTACTTGGCTGCTAGTCCAGACAGGGTTCTAGAGGATAACGAGTGCATTAGTTGAAATTAAATGCCCTTCAAAATCGCAAGATTTCTTTCGCGAAGAAGCGGTTAGAAAAAAAATAATCAAATTTTGTACATTGATGGACAGAGAATTGAAACTAAAAAAAAATCATGATTACTACTTTCAAGTCCAGGGACAAATGCTTGTTACGGGTATTTCACAAGTTTATTTTGTTGTGTGGACACCCAAAATAAAGAAAAAAACGAAGAAATATGTAAAAAGATGGCAGATAAACTTGGCAGATTTTACTTTGGCGCATTATTGCCCGAAATAATTGATTCAAGAAGAAAGAGGAACCTGCCTTTGCGAGAGATTTTTTTTAAATAAATAAAATTTGTTTCTATTTTTTTTATGTACTTTAATAATTTATTAGGAGTACATTTTTCATCACTAAGACTTGCATATTTTTATTATAAATATATTTTGAAAATGATCTCTCGGCAAATGAAAACATATACGAGCACTTTTTTCGAGTAAACAATGAAGGGAGAGGTTACTGGGCGTAGGGCTTTTTTAAAACACCTCTTTTCTGGGATAAGTAGTAGATACACTTAGATACTTATACGTGTTAAACAAAAGCTGTATTTTATATATTTATTATTATTATTATAAATATGTTTATTAGTTTTATTGATTAAGAAAGCAAAATATATATTAAAAATAATATTACAATGAATTTTTTTAATCATGTGTATTGAATTCAGGATCCTGAGTGGAGTAAAAATATTATAGTTCCCCAGTTTTAATTCGGTTTTATGATAGTACCTCATTGCGTAAAAGTTAATTTCCTTAACAATAGATTACTACGGCCGGTCCTGGCGGCTTGTTATAAAACTGAGTTCCTTGCCATAAATTAGAAAAATCAGTCGAGAACTCTAACGATCAGCTTATGGTAGAGCAGGCGATAAGGGTTTTACCTGGAAAGTCGCTTCCGTAAATTTGAGTGGCGCTCCTATCGGCAAAGTACTGAACTAACTGCTCAAATTCTGTCGAATTGATACCCATTTTTTTCAATAATTGTTAGTTTTTATTAAAAACTCTGCTAACCAATAGATCATTAATTTTCCTCTGATATTCCTGTTAAAATTATTCGACGTATTTCGCATTAGTTTGTGATATATTTTGATTTTAATAAACACATTATTATTTAAACAAATTGTACCACTAACAAACATTTAATGACTCTGCGCCCTGTAAAAAGTGATGTTTTATCCATGTGCGAATTTTCAAGCGATTCTATGATGGTTATGAATCAAAAAACTTGAAAAGAAAACATACAATGCTGCTTTTTTTACGATATTTCTCAGCCATATTCTTTTAATTAATTGAACTGGTCTCTGCGCTCTAGAATATGAAAAAAATATTATACTTCGTCTAGCGAGTCCCGTGGATATAGGGATATAACACTGTTATTTTGGTCGAGCATTGGCTTAAAACATTCTGCTTCATATCATTAAACTAATAATCACTTGTATTTTTACCTTGGTTGAATGCTAGAGCTGGCACGTAAATCACTATAGGAATATAGAGCATCGTCTCTATTAGAAACAACACGGACCCTAGCAACCTTACTGTATGGTTAAACCGAAGATTTAAATACTGAAAATAGTAATAAGCCGGTAAAATCAACATTAAAAAAAAGTGATACCGAGTACCTCGTAGGTGGACGTCAGTTGTAATTTATAATACACAGGTAAAAAAATATACATCAGTGTTAATGCAACCAGGGGCTGAGTCGATAGGACCATCCACAACTGAGTTCCATAGGTGTACATTTCAGCTGGAAACCCTAGTAAGCTTATACCAGACACGTAACTAAAAGTAAACAAAATTATGGAATAAAAATTGCAAAACTCCTGGGTGATGTCGGCCAAAACTTACCTTGCTAGTAACGACATCGACATCGGCAGCACTCCTATAGACTTGCTACCCATCAAATATTCAGAAGGCGTATTTTGCTTAACTTTGGCAAAATAGGCAAAATAGATACCGATCAACGAAGAAATAATCAACATTGTTGCAAATACAACGTAGTCAAAAATACTAAAAACAGCAGTGGCGTCTTCTGAAGACATTTTTACATTAATAAGTAGTAAAAATAAAGTGAAAAACACACTGCGAACGACTATAACCAACTACGATACCTATTATTGTAATACACGAATTTATACCGGGCACAATTTAGTCGTAATTGGAAAATTGTGCTCCCTACTGTGGCCGGCGGTGGTCCTCATCCTATTGTTAAAGTCGAAAATGAATGTGAATTATTTGGGTTAGAGTGTGTGAATAAAAATCGTAGAAATAAGGGAACACTATTTATTTACTGAAATAAATGGACAAACAAACGTTTGAATCAAGTATGCCAATTCATGAAAACTTCTTTCTGGAAAGAAACAATAAAATACATAGAACTATCATGTATTTACACCCGCCATATGAAAAATGAAGAGTTCACATGACTTATAATCACCATCTACATTTAACAACAAATGTTAAAATTTATTGTTTATGCAACGCGTTCATCTGATTGACTCTATCTATAATAATAATAATTAATAATCGTAATAATATTTTCAAAGTGGGAAGTAAGGCAAGCCCGGAGTAAATCAATCAGAACTGTGTATTCGTTACTATACTGGAGAAAACATGAAAAAGTCCTGAGCTATAATTCCTGAGAGAAACCATTTATCGGATATCGTAATGTAGTGTTGATTGCGTTGTAGATGTTGATTGATCAAAGCAAACGTTCTCCGTTACAAATAACATTCACAAAAGAATGGCACACTTACACAAGTACTTTTTTTCGACTATTTACTACATAAGATTCTGTCGTACAAATAGCATTCACCAGAAAATTTTAACTTATATCAAAACCCAGAAAAAAGTAAAACTTGAACAACAAATTAAATTTTATAGAAATATATTAATTACTGAGGTAGTTTACTTCTTAGATCGGATAATGTACAATACTAAACGGTAATCATCGTGTTGTCCTGGTGGATTGTGTTATTATAATCATTGGTACTGCAATGCAAAACCGCGAGATGGCGCACCGACAAGTTTTAGGCTGGAAGTACGATTATCCGTGTCTAAGTTACCTAATCTATAGCGGCTGGTTTGCACAGTCAGTCTCCGTCCAGCATTGTGTTGTTTTAGTAACATGTATACTATTATAACTATATAAGTGGTTGTAAAATAATAATCGTACACTCAAGTAAAAACGACAAACTATAAAATTCATCAGGTGAAGAATTATACAAGTATGTTGTAACTATATACTAAAGGATGACTTTGATTTCACGTAAACCTTACTAACATCTTTATGCTATTGTGGATGCGACTTTATCCATGTTTGAAAAAGGGTTTGCTTGAAATCATCTTCTCGTTCTCTTTAACTATTAACTTAATGAAATAATTATAAAATGCATTCAAACTATAACTATTTTATATAACTTTTTTTTAGTAATAGATCCCGGCCTCCGAACGACTTCGCCAAAATTCCGATAAAACTTACACGGCGAAAATTTAAAATTCGTCAACAAGAGACTGCCTCTAACTCTACTTTAAAAACACCTATTTCGACTCGACACACACGACTCTTATTTTTGAAACAGCAAATATATAAGGGGGCAATCCATCGTCACGGGAAGTCGGTCGGCGACGCGAGATTCCGGTTAGGCACTATTTATACCATAACATAGTGTTTTCTCTTGCTTCTTTTTCCTTTTTTTAAATATAATCAATTGATTTATTGATCAGTTGCTAACAACGAACGTAAGCATTACATGGAATCGACTAATGGGTCGGTTTTTATTTTTATTTTTTTTCAATTAGTGTTGAAGCTAAGACCTGTATGCGCGTACATCATTTTTCCAATAAAAACCTTTTTACAGTGTCTCTAACGGGTCGGATTCGGTTGAAGAGACTCGTGTCGTGCACGCGGGGTGCACGTAGATTCTGATGTTTTTTGGTCATTCTGATGGTCAGATGGATGGAGCTTTTTTCATTTTCATTGAACAATCGATCTATGACTTGTGTCGTTTTTTCTTTTTTGTTTTTAGGGGGGGAAGGGATTATGATACATAGTCCGAATATGTTTAGTAAATTTTGCGACAGAGATAAAAATAATGTATGAAATGCGTTAGATTTTTGATGTTTTTTTCCCGAGATGCTTGTGTGAAACAAATGGATCGACCAACTAACGTCGTTTTTGGTTAATTTTGAACTAGACTTTGTACTCTTTGAACAGATCGTTTTGTACAATCGCGAAAAGATGCGTTTCTTTTCTTTCTTAGTTTGTTTTTGTTGTTTGTTTGTTTTGAGAAACGAAAATAAGTTTGCGTGGTGTGTGTTTGTGTGTGTGTGTGTGAAAAAGTTCCCGAATGTAATGGGGCGTAAGTGCTGAACCGATGACTGTCAGTTGATATATTGTTAACCCTCGAACAGTCTACTCTTTTTTTTTTAATAAATAAATACAGCTTTCTGGTAACATCCTCGCACTTTGGCACACTTATAAACTGTACAAATAATTTAAATTCTTTAAAATTTTCTTTTTATACATAATCAATAAATATATATTCATATAATAATATATCCATTTTTTCACAATTTTTTAAAATAGCGACCCCGCTATATCATTATTTTTTAAAAAATCTAACAAAAAATATCCTCCCCAACAAACAATTTTTATCAAAAATATTTTTTACAGGTCCGGACTATTCCGGGGGCTCTTAGGCCCAATCTATACCTCCCGAGTTTGTACTATCAGGGGCGCGGCCGACCTTGACGCAAGGCAGCAGGGCCGCAACAGCTGTCTCCTATCTGGTAGTATTTATAATAATTCAGCAACAATCACGTGACGGCCGTCCGCCACGCCCCCCACTCCCAACGAACAAATAATAATCGCAGGGGGGCGTGGCGTCCAGCCCAATTATATTCAAATATTATTTTAACAAATCTCCTAACAATAATTACAATATAGTTAAAAACGTCTCTCACACGCACACTTTGATTAACAGTTTCTTCATTTTTAAATAGTAAATAATTAAAAGGTCGTTGCACGCGGCGGGACGCCCTCAGGTCCGACGTCCCGGCTCTCGAACACATAACGGACACGCACAACAATTTCGCGTTTACAAAATTTTCTTATTAAAGCTCTTATTTTCACATTCACACCTTTTATTTTTTTCTTTTTAACATAACAACAGCCACGTTAACGCGGTACTCTGCAGAGGAACTTTCGCCTTTTTGATGTAGTGCTAGTTTAAAGTGGAACTCTTCAGATGGATAACGGTGACTGCTCTTTGTTTCGTCATGACTAAAATTTTCGTTCGTCTATTTCAGAATTTTTGTCTCGGTTTTTTTTTCGAAATTTTTTTGCTGTCTTTGTGTGTGTTTGCAGAAATGTCGACGGTTGAGTGCGAGCGGTCAGCGAAGTAAGACGCATGAACAATTAAAGTAGCCTTAATAACGCCGTTCATGTCAACACTTACAATCATCTTTGGTTGTCCTTGCATCAGGTAGTAGTTAACAATCTGTGTATGTATATTGTATTGTAAATAAAAAAGAAACACTGCTGTTATTTTGATGAGGTTAGTGTGGTTGGTTGCTGTTCTCTTAACGGAAATTTCCTATGGCTATAAAAATCTAACTTTATTTTGATTAGCTGAGGTAGATTGTAATGTTGGGCACACAGTTTACCATACCGTATTCCAGTTTCTTCTCCAAACTTTCCACCAACTCGAAATAATCATCATCATCTCCGCCAAATTATAAACGAAACGAAATGGACGTATCGGCAATAAAGCACTGTCTGAAAAATGCACTTGCTTGAGGTATTCGCGGTTCACGTTTTCTTCTTCTTCTTCTTCTTCTTCTTCTTCTTCCTTCTTTCAGCACGGAATCGCGCACACCGTCGGAGAGATGGAGATAGATAGATAGAGAGAGAGAGAAAAAGAGAGAGACAAACCCGAGCTCGAGAACTGATACGAAAAAGGAGAGATGGTGTGTGTGTTCGGCGACGACACGCGACAAGACAATGCACTCACGCACGATTCAGATTGGAAGGATGATATTGCATTAGTGGAAGGCCTCGAGATGTTAATGTACAATAGGGTATGCATAAACCCATGCACAGGGCAGTGAACGTTGCTAGCTGGCGTTACTGTTGTTGTTGCTGTTGCGGTTGTTGTTGTTGTGGCGGCGGCGGCTGCTGTTGCTGCGGTTCGAGCGAGGCAGCCTCCGATTGGCTGGGGTCTTTGGGCTGGCGCTGTTGGCGCGGTCTTCCCTGAAGAGGCACTACTGATTGCAATACCATGGCGCGGATGCGACGCTGCGCCGACTGGAACAAGGAAAGATTTAATTACCGACGGACGTCGCCACGGTCGGCCTTACTTGAACACTGAAGAATGGTCCAATGATATGCACCGTTGTTTCATCCTCTTGAGGAGAAGAACCCTGTTCTGGCAGTTTTATTACGCTTCCGGTTACGCGCTGGAGCTCGCGCACGTTCTGACCTCCTTTGCCGATGATCCGGCCGACTTGGGAACTAGGAACCATTATTTCTACCGTTAATCTGACGTCGTCGGAGCCAGCTACGAAGCCTTCTTCTCGCATCTTCTCGAAGATCAAATACTGTGCCTGGAGACATTATTGGTTCGTTCAGTATTTTGGTTTAACAAAAGTCATGATCTACAACTACTTTGATTGGACTTCCAGTCCAACTTTTTTACAATGAAAAGACCGACATATAGAAATAGGGACCTACTTTCTCACATGTTAGAAAATGCGAAACGTCTACAAAATAAACCCTATTACAATACTTCTCCAGCTTATTATTCGAAGCTAAAAAATTGATTTAAAACTATCTAGATAGAACTTCCCTGGCTACTGAAATACAATCAAACAAAATTAATTTCTTAGAAAAATTGTTAATTGATTCTGCAAATTTTATCTATTTTATGAAAATTCCTATACAAAATGTTCCATTTTGCCCGTTCCTCTTAACATCTTTGATACTTATGAAAAGAAATATACATAGAACATATCAAAATGATTGTCAATGCAATAGGCCATGATTGTGTACACCCACCCATCTTTAGATATTTGGCTATAATGCTACAAAAAATGGTCGAATTGTTATTTCGACAGAATTTCCCTTGCCTTTAGGACAACTCCGCTTCTTTAAAAAATTACAAAATTTGATTTCGCAATTTTTGTATAGTGGTAATCTCTATAAACTAAAAGCCAATGGCATAATTAATAACACTCCCACAAATTCTAAGGGGACGCGAAAAACGTTTTTCGAAAAATCGAATTATCAAGAAATTGACAAATCAAAAAATTTTAAAAATTGAAAAATCGAAAAGCCGAGGAATCTGAAATTGAGAAAAATAAGAAATCCAAAATTTAAAAAATCGAAAAATTGAAAAAACGTAAAATTGAGAAACTGAAAAAACTGAAAAATCAAGAAATCAAAAAAGTCAGAAACAAAAATGAGGAAAATTTGGGAAATCGAAAAATTGAAAAAATTACAAACATGGATAAATTGAAAAGTCGAAAATCGAAAAATTGAGAAATCTAAATAGCCAAAATTGAAAAGTTTAAAAATAGAAAAATTTAAAGGGAAAATGAAAAATTGAAAAATCAAAAATTTTAAAAATCGAAAAATTGAAAAAACGAAAAATATAAAACCGAGAAGTCGATAAATGATGGAGAAATCGAAACATCAAAAACTGAGAAATCTAAAAACGGTAAAAAAATCCGAAAACTGAAACACTTCGGAAATCGAAAAATGAAAAATCGAGAAATCGAAAAATTTCAAAAATCCAAAATTTAAAAAACCGAAAAATGAAAATTCATGAAATTGATGACTAGAAAAATTGAAAAATCTAGAAACTAAAAAAAGTCCAAAACAGAAATGAAGGAAAAATTGAGAAATCGAAATAGCACAAAACAGAAAAGTTTAAAATTGAAAAATTTAAAATAAAAAAAAACGAAAAATCGAGAAATTGAGCAACCGAAAGATCGAAACAGAAATCTCGATAAGTCGAGAAATCCAACAGCTAAAAAATCGAAAAACTGAAAAATTCCAAAATTTCAAAAATCGAAAATTTTTAAATTCGAGAAATCGATAAATCGGAACATCAAAAAACCGAAAAATCTATAACTTTAAAATTTGAAAGTAGAAAACCGAAAAATCGAAACATCGCAAAATTGAAAAGTCGAAAAATTAAAGAATTGAAAAATCCGAAAACTGAACCATCGAAAATTGAGAAATCGAAAAATGAAAAATTGAGAAATCGAAGTGGAGAAATTGAAAATTTAAAAAAGCGAAAAACTGAAAAATCAAAACCCTGAAAAATCGTAAAATCTAGAAATAGAAACATTGAAAAAGGCAAGAAATCGAGAAATAAGATAATCAAAAAAACTGAAAAATTGTAGAACTGAAATATTGTAAAATTCGGAAAATGAAAAATAAAAAATCGAAAATATCAAGAAACGACATTTAAAGAATCGAAAAATTGTAAAGTCCCAGCACCGAAATATCGACAAATTGTGAAATCGAAAACTTCAAAATTCAATAAATCGAAAAATCCAAAATTTAAAAAATCGAAAAATTGGAAATTAGTGAAATTGAGGAATAGAAAAATTGATGAATCGAAATAGCCAAAAATAGAAAAGTTTAAAATTGAAAAATTTAAAATAAAAAAATCGAAAAATCGAGAAATCAACAGTTAAAAAATCGAAAAACTGAAAAATCGAAAAATGCCAAAATTTCAAAAATCGAAAATTTTTAAAACCGAGAATTCGATAAATCGAAACATCAAAAAACCGAAAAATCTATAACTTTGAAACTTGAAAATTGAGAAAAAGAATTATCAAAGAATTGGAAAACCGAAAAATCGAAAAAACGAAACATCACAAAATGGAAAAGTCGAAGAATTAGAGAATTGAAAAATCCGAAAACTGAACCATTGAAAATTTAAAAATCTAAAAACTGAAAAATCAAAACCCTGAAAAATCGTAAAATCTAGAAATCGAAACATTGAAAACGGCGAGAAATCGAGAAATAAGAAAATCAAAAAAATTGAAAAATTGTAGAACTGAAATATTGTAAAATTCGGAAATCGAAACATCAAAAAACCGAAAAATCTATAACTTTAAAATTTGAAAATAGAAAAAAAGGAATATCAAAGAATTGGAAAACCGAAAAATCGAGAAAACGAAACGTCACAAAATCGAAAAATTAGAGAATTGAAAAATCCGAAAACTGAACCATCGAAAATTGAGAAATCGAGAAATGAAAAATTGAGAATCGAAGTGGAGAAATTGAAAATTTAAAAAAGCAAAAAACTGAAAAATCAAAACCCTGAAAAATCGTAACATTGAAAAAGGCGAGAAATCGAGAAATAAGAAAATCAAAAAATCGAAATTCGTAACATCGATTCATTAAGAAATTGAGAAATCGAAAAATTGAAAAATTGTAAAACTGAAATATTGTAAAATTCAAAAATCGAAAAATAAAAAATTGAAAATATTAAGAAACGACATTTAAAGAATCGAAAAATTGTAAAATCGCAACACCGAAATATTGACAAATTGTGAAATCGAAAAATTCAAAATTTAAGAAATCGAAAACTTGAAAAATCAAGAAACTAAAAAAGCTCAAAACAGAAATGAAGGAAAAATTGGGAAATCGCAAAAATGGAAAACTGAAGCAATAAATTGAAAAGTCGAGAATTCGAAACATCGAAATATTGAGAAATCGAAATAGCCCAAAGGCAAAAAGTTTAAAATTAAAAATTCAAAAAAAAAAAATTAAAAACTGAAAAATTTAAAATTAAAAAAATTAAAAAAACGACAAATTGAACAACCGAAAGATCGAGACAGGAATCTTGATAATCCAGAAATCGTACAGTGAAAAATCGAAAAACTAAAAATTCGAAAAATAAAAAATTTCAAAAATCGAAAAATCAAAAACAGAAAAATTTAAAACCAAGAAGTCGATAAATCGAAACATCAAAAAACCGAAAAATCTAAAATTTTAAAATTTGTAAAATATTTAGAGAAAAAAAAATATCTAAGAACTGGAAAACCGAAAAATCGAGATCTCTAAACATCACAAAATCGAGAAATCGAAAAATCAGAGAATTGAAAAATCCGAAAACTAAAACATGGAAAATTGAAAAATCGAAAAATTGAAAAACTGAAACATCGATAAACTGAAAACTCGAGAATCCGAAAAATCGAAAAATTGAGAAATCGAAATAGCCCAAAATAGAAAAGTTTATAATTGAAAAATTTAAAATAAAAAAATCGAAAAATCGAGAAATTGAACAACCGAAATATCGAAACAAAAATCTCGAGAAATCGAACAGTTAAAAAATCGAAAAACTGAAAAACTGAAAAATCGAAAAATCCAAAATTTCAAAAATCGAAAATTTTTAAGACCGAGAAGTCGATAAATCAAAACATCAAAAAGCCGAAAAATCTATAATTTTAAAATTTGAAAAATAGAAAAAAAGAAATATGGAGAAATTGAAAATTTAAAAAGGCGAAAAACTGAAAAATCAAAATCCTGAAAAATCGTAAAATCTAGAAATCGAAAAGTCGTAACATCGATTCATTAAGAAATTGAGAAATCGAAAAATTGAAAAATTGTAGAACTGAAATATTGTAAAATTCAGAAATCGAAAAATAAAAAATCGAAAACATTAAGAAACGACATTTAAAGAATCGAAAAATTGTAAAATCCCAACAGCGAAATATCGACAAATTGTGAAATCGAAAAATTCAAAATTTAAGAAATCGAAAACTTGAAAAATTAAAAAATTTAAAATCGAAAAATCCAAAATTTAAAAAATCGATAAATTGAAAATTAGTGAAATTGGGGAATTGAAAAATTGAAAAATCAAGGAACTAAAAATATTCAAAACAGAAACGAAGGAAAAATTGGTAAATCGAAAAAATGGAAAACTGAAGCATAAATATTGAAAAGTCGAGAATTCGAAAAATCGAAATATTGAGAAATCGAAAGAGTAGTTTAAAATTAAAAAATTCAACAAAAAAAATTTTAAAATTGAAAAATTTAAAAATAAAAAATTTCAAAAATCGAAAAATCAAAAATAGAAAAATTTTAAACTGAGAAGTCCATAACATCAAAAAACCGAAAAATCGAGAAATCTAAACATCACAAAATCGAGAAATCGAAAAATCAGAGAATTGAAAAATCCAAAATTTAAAAAATGAAAAAATTAGTGAAATTGAGTAACAGAAAAATTGAAAAATCAAGAAACTAAAAAAGTTCAAAACACAAATGATGGAAAAATAGGGAAATCGAAAAATTGGAAAACTGAAACATCAATAAATTGAAAAGTCGAGAATTCGAAAAATCGAAAAATTGCGTAATCGGAAGAGCCCAAAATCGAAAAGATTAAAATTCAAAAATTCAAACAAAAAAAATTTTAAAAATGAAAAATTTAGAATTATAAAAATTGGAAAAACGAGAAATTGAACAACCAAAAGATCGAAACAGAAATCTCGATAAATCGGGAAATCGAACAGTTGAAAAATCGAAAAACAAAAAAATCAAAAAATAAAAAATTTCAAAAATCGAAAAATCAAAAACAAAAAAATTTTAAACCGAGAAGTCGATAAATCGAAACATCAAAAAGCCGAAAAATCTATAATTTTAAAATTTGAAAAATATTTACAAAAAAAAAAGAATATCTAAGAACTGGAAACATCACAAAATCGAGAAATCGAAAAATCACAGAACTGAAAAATCCGAAAACTAAACATCGAAAATTGAAAAATTGAGAAATCGAAAAGTCGAGAAATCGAAAACCTGAAACATCGAAAAATTGAAAAAATCGTAAAATCGTAAAAATCCAGAAATTGAAACCTTGAAAAAGTCGAGAAATCGAGAAATAGGAAAATCAAAAAATCGAAAAGTCGTAACATCGAATAATCAAACATATTATTCAAGAAATTGAGAAATCGAAAAAGTGAAAAATTTAAAAAACCGAAACAACTGAAGAATCGAAAAATTGAAAAATTGTAGAACTGAAACACTGGAAAATTTATAAATCGAAAAATGGAAAAATCGAAAATATGAATAATTGCGATTTAAATAATCGAAAATGTGCAAAATCCCAACACCGAATATTAAAAAATTGTGAAATCGAAAAATCCAAAATTGTGAAATCGAAAAATCCAAAATTAAAAAATTGAAAAAATGAAAAATAAAAACATCTGAAAACTTAAAATCCAAAACCCGAAAAGGCGAAGAATCGACAAGCCGAGAAATCTAAAATTGGGAAATCGAAAAATCCAAAATTTTAAAAATCGAAAAACTGAAAAATCGATAAAATGAAAAGTAGAGAATTCAAAATTGAGAAATCAAAATAGCCCAAAACCGAAAACTTTAAAATTGAAAAATTTTAAATAAAAAAAATTGAAAAATTTTAAATAAAAAAAATTGAAAAATTTTAAATTAAAAAAATCGAAAAAACATCCGAAAGATCGAAACAGAAATCTCGACAAATCGAGAAATCGAATAATTGAAAAATCGAAAAACTTAAAAACCGAAAATCAAAAATTTCAAAAATCGAAACATCAAAAAACCGGAAAACCTAAAATTTTAAAATCTGAAAAATAGAAAAAAAAATCAATATATCGAAGAACTGATGAACCGAAAAATTAGACAATTTAAAAGTCTGAAAACTGAATAATCGAAAATGGAGAAATCGAAAAGTCTAAAAATCGAAAATTTAAAAAAGCGAAAAACTAAAAATCAAAAACCTGGAACATTGAAAAATAAAAAAAATCAAAAAATCGTAAAATCGACAAATCGAAACATTGAAAAAGTCGAGAAATCGAGAAATAGGAAAATCAAAAAACTCAAAGTCGTAACATCGAAAAATCCAAACAATTGAAGAATCGAAACTGTAACATTGGAAAATTCAGAGATCGAAAATTTGAAGAACCGAGAAGTTAAGAGAATATCGAACAATTGTGAAATCGAAAGTTGAGAAATGGAGAAATCGAAAATTTCAAAAATTGTCACATCGTTTGCAAGATTTCAAAGCACTTGATTTTGCAGTTTCAACATTAAATTGTTACACTATTTTGATTTTTTTTTTGAAATCTGGAAGCCCAAGGTAAAAACTCAAGGCGGATTCATAAACCACAAATAGAGTAGAATGTTATTTTATGAAATTTAAATAAGATTTAATATTGTAAAAGCTGTAGATGACTTCACATCATTGTGCAATAAAAAAGGTATAAAAAAAATGACAAAAAAATGGCGTAAAAACGGCAAAAAAATAAGTAAAAGTAAAAAAGGTCACAAAACAATGTGAGAAAAAATGCCATAAATACGTCAAAAAAACGAAAAAAAAAAGACCGCACAAAGAAAGGAGCCAAAAAGAGGCGACAACAAAAGCGTGGCATAGAAAACGACATATCAAGGGACAAAAACACAATGAAAAAGGATGGTAAAAAAGGCCACAAAATAGTGCAAGGACAAAAATCGACGAAAAACGCGACCAAAAAGAGGTCCTAAAAATGCGCCAAAAAAAGAAGCCAAAAAACACAGAAAAAAGCGACCAAAAAAAGACGGCAAAAAAGGAACCAAAAAAATGTGACAATGAAGATATTCGTGATCGATAAGAAGAGTCCTCTTCATTTAAAAACGACGTTGCTTTTATTCTAAAAATTTGTAAACTGACGCACTTTTTTTGACAATTAAAATTTAAAATGTCAAAAAAATCATAATTTCGAAATTACTACATTTCATGTACTGCCAACTTAATTTAGAATTTTCACAGTCATCTGCGTAGACAACCATTTTGAAATAAATAAATAAATAAACAAATAACAGTTTTTTTTTAGTGCGTTAAATCAGTATTTTTGATTTTTTAATGGCGTATCTTTGTCGTTTCACCTAACCTGAAAATATCTTGTTAATGAAACGAAAAACTTAAAACCTGACCTAAATTACAAAAAAGACTCCAATTAATACCATATGATTGAAAAAAAAAGGCGTACAGTAAGTCAACTGAAACAGTAATACAAATAGTAAATTGGAACACACATTAGATTTAAAAATATATGGGTGGATTAAAAACCACTCGTAGAGACGTTTATTAATTTATACATTATAAACATGATTTTCTTAGAAAATTTTTAAACGAAGTGACGTCTTTAAAATTTTGGTGGGAATGGACAGAAAAAAAATTTGGTAGTGACAACAAGCTAACGATAACCTCAAAGTACATATGTGGGTGTACACGATAGTCTTAAAATACAACCAAAACTCCACATCAACAGACCGAGTAGTTTCGTAGATTACGTATCTAATTTAAGAAGACAGACACACAATAGACGGCCAGACAGACAGACAGACAAACAGACGGAAACGGGACCGTCATTTCCGTATCGTCCACCGAAATTCCAACTCACTTTCCACTGAGCCTCCGGCGAGCCCACGATCGTCACCCTCCTCTCGTTCTGCGTCTCCTGCGGCTTCGTTTCGTCGATCGGCGCGATCTTCACGGAAGCCCCCGAGAACCGTATGATATTCCTAATGTGCGATCCCTTCGTCCCGATGATGGCACCGACCGCGTTGTTGGGGATGTACAGGTAGGTCGTTTCTTGGCTGTCGCCGCCCCCCTGCGCCGCCCCGGCAGGATACATCCCCGGGTACGGCGCCTGTCCGGTGTACAGGCCCCTCGAGCCGTAACCTATTCCTGCGTCAAATGCAAACTAAAGGGAACGTGGATCGAGACGCGAAGTGCATCATCACCTGCCGTGGCCATCATCGCCATGGGGTGGAGGCCGGGGAACATCATCGTCTGCGGCGCCATCGCCTGCAGGTCGTTCTCGTAGCTCTGGCGCAGCTTGGCGCTGATCTGGGCCTCGGCGCGGCTCATGTTCTCGATGGCTCCCTTCACGGTGATGATCCGCTCCAGGTTGAACGAGTTGATGTCGTTTATGCTGGAGACGGTGATCTTCGTGTCGGTCTCTTGCATTATCCTCTTTATCGTGTTGCCGCCTTTGCCGATTATGCGTCCGATGAGGTTGTTGTGCGCCAAGATTTTCAACGAAATTTCGCTGGAAGAAAGAAATTGCGCTTTAGTACGAATCAACGCCACCTGGACGACCTAGACTTACCCCTTATTCGTGTTGTTGGCTTCTTGTTGCATAACCTCTAAGATCCGTTTACACGCATTTGTGCAGTTTTCCGGATTTCCGTAAATGGTAATGGCTTTCTCTAAGGACCCGACGTTGTCTTTTCGGTGTACGTCAACTCTCGCCCTCGTCTGTTGCGTTATCTGTCGTATCGTCGATCCTTGTCGTCCTATAATAGCCCCCACCTAAGCAAAATAAATAAAACAAAAACCTACCATAATAATATACCCAAAAGAGGATAATCCGAATGCCACTGTCCTTACCATATCACTTTGTACAAGTATCCTCAACGGAAAATCCGTTTGCCTACTCTGTCCAGGCAAGCCCCCGAACGGGGCCCCTGGGCCTCGAGGTCCTCTTCGGCCCCGTTTTTCCACAGCCAATTCCACTTTGATGGGTCTACTATCTATGTCTATACCATTAAGTTGATTTACGGCCCTTGAAAAATTAAACACATGACTTGACAATTTCGCATGACAATTTTGTTTCGAAGGGAATAAATGATATTTGGCGGCGAAAATTTTGTTTTGTCACTGGGACATCTCCAACGGTGGCTTGTTTTCACCACTAAATATTTTATGCTAAATTTCGGAAAATATGATAAGGAAATGTTCGAGTCATCACAAGTTTTTTTTCAGAAACCACGAAAACATGAAACGAAACAACACGAAGGAATGAGTTTCCTCCCCTTTAAATTCGCAAGTGGCCCCGTCCGGATGTCCTCTGCGATGTTTTGTTTTTGTAGTTTTTGTTCCACTTTTTAAAAATTCAAAACTTGTTATTAAGTGATAAGAATAATCCGCCAAATTTTTTTTAATAAGTTCAAATTCTATGTTATCGCGCAAGCTTGGACGCTTATTTTGTAGCAGACTATATATATTTTTTACATAGATTCAGATTAATAATGGAAAATTCCTTTTAAATTCAATACAATAGTGAAAATACTCTTAACAGCATTGGGAAAAAAGTACTTGCTAAATTATATGCACAGTTTTTATTTTCTATTTGATGAATGTGCGTCAGAACTAATTTGCGTTTAAAAAAAAGCTGTATCGTGATTCGCATAAAATTAAAAAAAAAAAAACTGGTTGAAGGTTATTATGGACAATATGAAATATTTTATTTAAAGCAGATAACCTACGGGAAAAATGTATTCTCAGTACATGCTTAACTTCAACTGTTTATGTTTATACTTCGAAAGAATTCGACAATTAGCAAAAACTCAAAAACATTTATTCGACAAATTTTTAGGATGACGTTACACTTTTTTGCGGAGGCCATCATAAATTCTGATTACCGATTTACCATGATTTCTATAAACTTAAATCGTTTGTATGATTTCAAATTTAAAGTTAAATTGTAAAATGTTACACAATTCGGATTTGTACCTCAAAAATGTGTATGTCTAGGGTAAAAACCTAACACGGATTCATAAATCACACATGTAGACAAGGGTGAATGGGACGTGCTGATCGGTGCTTGAAAAGCCGAAATTTCAAAGATCCCTTTTAGAGTGCCTTTTTGACGTAGTTTAAAGGATCTCGGGGACTCCTTTTGTTTTGTTTTTGATGTACTTAGTTTAAGAGAATCTTGGGGATCTCTTGTCAGTTTTTTTTTCTGAAGTAGTTTGAAAGAATGTTGGGGACTTCTTTTGTTCTTAAATTATTTTGAAAGAATTTTTTGGTTTTTGAAGTAGTTTGAAGAATCTTAGGGATCCCTTGTTTGGTTTTTGTTTTTTAGTAGTCTGAAAGAATCTCGGGGAACCCTTTTGTTTTTGAAAAGGTTTGAAAGAATCTCGGGGATCCTTTCGTGTTGTTTTTGAAGTAGTTGAAGGAATTTTTGCGATCCCTTCTCTGATTTTTAAAGTCATTTGAAAGAATTTCAGGTATCTTTGTGTTTTGTTTTTGAACTAGTTTGAAAGAATCTCGGGGAAACCTTTTGTTTTATTTTTAAAGTAAACCGAAAAAATCTTAGGATTCCTTGTCATGTTTTTGAAATAATTTGAAAGAATCTCCAGGACTCATTTGTCTGTTTTTTGAAGTAGTTTGAAAGTATCTAGGGGACCACTTGTGTATGATTTTTAAAGTAGTTTGGGAGAATCTCAGGGATCCTCCTTTTGTTTTGTATTTGAAGTGGTTTAAAAGAATCTTATAGATCCCTTGTCTGGTTTTTAAAGTAATTTGAAAGAATTTCGGGGATCCTTTTGTGTTGTTTTTGAAGTAGTTGAAAGAATTTTGGGGATCACTTCTCTGGTTTTTTAAGTCATTTGAAAGAATCTCGGGGAAATCTTTTATTTTATTTTTAAAGTAGATTGAAGAAATCTTGGGGATACCTTGTCATGTTTTCGAAATAATTTGAAAAAATCTCCGGGACCCATTGTGCCTGGTTTTTAAAGTAGTTCAAAAAAATTTCAGGGACCCCCCTTTTGTTTTATTTTTTAAGTGGTTTAAAAGAATCTTATAGATCATTTGTCTGGTTTTTGAAGTAATTTGAAAGTCTCGGAAATCGTTTATGTTTTGTTTTTGAAGTATGTAGTTTGAAAGAACCATGGGGACTCCTTGTGTCTGAGTTTTAATGTAGTTGAAAGAATTTCGGGAACACTTGTTTGATTTTTGAAGTTGTTGAAAAGAATCTTGAGGACCTCTTTTGTTTTGTATTTGAAATGGTCCGAAAGAATCTCGGGATTTCTTGTATTTTGTTTTTTAAGTAGTTCGAAAGAATCAGGGGAACTCCTTGTGTTTGGTTTTTGAAGAAGTTTGAAAGAATCTCGGAGATTTTTCAAGCAATTTGAAAGAATTATGGAGACCACTTGTGTCTGGTTTTTGAAGTAGCTTTAAAAAACGTCCGGCGACTTTTTTTCCGTTTTTGAAGTGGATTGAAAGAATCTCGGAGACTCTGGCGCCTGATTTTTGAAGTTGTTTGAAAGAATCTCAGGCACCCCTTTTGTTTTCGTTTTTTAGTAGTATTAAAGAATGCCGGACACCCTTTGATTTTTAAACTATTTTGAAAGAATCTTGGGGACCCCTTGGTATTTGAAGCAGTTTGAAAGGATGTCGGGAACTCCTTGGTTTTTGAAGCAGTTTAAAGAATTTTGGGACCTCCTTTTTGTTTTGTTTTTGAAGTAGTTTGAAAAATCTTAGGGATCCCTTGTTTGGTTTTTGTTTTTTAGTAGTTTGAAAGAATCTCGGATATTCCTTTTGTTTTTGAAGTGGTTTGAAAGAATCTCGGGGACCCTCCATTTGTGTAGTTTTTGAAGTAATGAAAGCAATTTTAGGAATCCCGTCTCTGGTTTTTGAAGTAATTTGAAAGAATTTCAGGGATTCCTTGTGTTTTATTTTTGAAGTAGTTTGAAAGGATCTCGGGGAAATCTTTTGTTTTATTTTTAAAGTAGTTTGACAAAATCTTGGCGATGCCATGTCATGTTTTTGAAATGATTTAAAAGTCTCGGGAATTGGTTGTGTTTTGTTTTTGAAGTAGTTTGAAAGAACGTCTGGGAAATCTTGTTTTTTTAAAAGTAGATTGAAAAAATCTTGGGGATCCATTGCCATGTTTTTGAAGTAATTTCAAAGAATCTCCGAGACCGATTGTGCCTAGTTTTTTAAGTAATTCGGAAGAATTTCAGGGATCCCTTTTGTTTTATTTTTTAAACAGTTTGAAAAAAATACGGAGAGAAAAAGGGGAGAGAAAATTAGGGATCCCTTGCTTGGTTTTTGTTTTTTTAGCAGTTTGAAAGAATCTCGGATACCCCTTTTGTTTTTGAAGTAGTTTGAAAGAAGATCAGGAATCCCTTGCTTGGTTTTTGAAGTAATTTGAAAGAATCCCGGAAACCTGTTTTGTTTTGTTTTTGAAGTGATTTGAAAGAATCTCGGGGATCCTTTTGTGTAGTTTTTGAAATTGTAAAAGGAATTTTGGGAATTCCTTCTCTAGTTTTGGGAGTAATTTGAAAGAATTTCAGGGATCCCTTGTGTTTTATTTTTGAAGTAGTTTGAAAGGATCTTGCGGAAATCTTTTGTTTTATTTTTAAAATAGTCTGACAAAATCTTGGAGATCCCATGTCATGCTTTTTTAAATAATTTGAAAGAGTCTCGGGAATTGGTTGTGTTTTCTTTTTGAAGTAGAAGAACGTAGGGGAAATCTTGTTTTTTTTTTAAAGTAGATTGAAAAAATCTTGGGGATCCATTGTCATGTTTATGAAGTAATTTCAAAGAATCTCCGGGACCCATTGTGCCTAGTTTTTGAAGTAATTCGGAAGAATTTCAGGGATCCCTTTTGTTTTATTTTTTAAATAGTTTGAAAAAAATACGGAGAGAAAAAGGGGAGAGAAAATTTGGGATCCCTTGTTTGGTTTTTGTTTTTTAGCAGTTTGAAAGAATCTCGGATACCCCTTTTGTTTTCGAAGTAGTTTGAAAGAAGCTCAGGAATCCCTTGCTTGATTTTTGAAGTAATTTGAAAGAATCCCGGAGACGTGTTTTGTTTTGTTTTTGAAGTGGTTTGAAAGAATCTCGAGGATCCTTTTGTGTAGTTTTTGAATCGTGAAAGGAATTTTGGGGATCTCTTCTCTGGTTTTCGAAGTAATTTGAAAGAATTTCAGGGATCCCTTGTGTTTTATTTTTGAAGTAGCTTGAAAGGATCTCGGGGAAATCTTTTGTTTTATATTTAAAGTAGTTTGACAAAATCTTGGGGATCCCATGTCATGTTCTTGAAATAATTTGAAAGAGTCTCAGGAATCGGTTGTGTTTTGTTTTTGAAGTAGTTTGTAAGAACGTCGGGGAAATCTTGTTTTTTTTAAAGTAGATTGAAAAAATCTTGGGGATCCATTGTCATGTTTTTGAAGTAATTTCAAAGAATCTCCGAGACCCATTGTGCCTGGTTTTTGAAGTAGTTTGAAAGAATTTCAGGCACCTCCTTTGTTTTGTTTTTGAAGTAGTTTAAAAGAATCTTAGAAATCCCTTGTCTGGTTTTTGAAGTAATTAGAAAGAGTCTCGGAAACCGTTTGTGTTTTGTTTTTCAAGTATGTAGTTTGAAAGAACCATGCGGACTCCTTATGTCTGATTTTGAAGTAGTTTGAATGAATATCAGAGAACTCTTATGTCTGGTTTTTGAAGTAATTTGAAAAATTTTAAGGACCTCTTTTGTTTTGTTTTAGAGATGGTTTGAAAGAATCTCGGGAATCTCTTGTATTTCGTTTTTGAAGTAGTTCGAAAGAATCATGGGAACTCCTTTGTCTGATTTTTGAAGTAATTTGAAAGGATTTCAGGGATCCCTTTTTTTATTTTTTAAGCAGTTTGAAAAAAATACGGAGAGAAAAAAAGGAAAGAAATAGGGATCCCTTGTTTGCTTTTTGGTTTTTGTTTTTTAATAGTTTGAAAGAATCTCGGACACCCCTTTTGTTTTTGAAGTGGTTTGAAAGAAGCTTAGGAATCCCTTGCCTGATTTTTGAAGTAATTTGAAAGAATCTCGGGGATCCTTTTGTGTAGTTTTTGAAGTAGTGAGAGGAATTTACGCGATCTCTTCTCTGGTTTTTGAAATAATTTGAAAGAATCTCCGGGGCCCATTGTGCCTGATTTTTGAAATAGTTTGAAAGAATTTCAGGGACCTCCTTTGTTTTGTTTTTGAAATAGTTTAAAAGAATCTTAGAGATCCCTTGTCTGGTTTTTGAAGTAATTAGAAAAAGTCTCAGAAACCCTTTGTGTTTTGTTTTTGAAGCAGCTTTAAAAAATGTCCGGGATTTTTTTTTGTTTCGTTTTTCAAGTGGTTTGAAAGAATCTCGGAGACTCCGGCCCATGATTTTTGAAATAGTTTGAAAGAATCTCGGGTATTCCTTTTGTTTTCATTTTTTAGTAGTTTTAAAGAGTGTCGAGGACCCCTTTTGTATTTAAATTCTTTTGAAAGAATCTTTGGAACCCCTTGATATTTGTAACAGTTTGAAAGAATCTTGGGGACCCCTCGTGCCTGGTTTTTGAAATAGTTTGAAGAATCTTAGCGACTCCTTGTTTGATTTTATTTTTTAGTAGTTTGACAGAATCTCAGACACCATTTTTTTTTTTAAGTTTTTTGAAAGAACCTCAGGGATCCCTTACTTAGTTTTTGAAGTAATTTGAAAGAATTGCAGGAATCTCTTGTGCTTTGTTTTTGAACTAGTTTGAAAGAACCTCGGGGAAATCGTTTTTTTTTTTAAGTAGATTGAAAAAATCTTGGGGACTCATTGTACCTGGTTTTTGAAGTAATTATAAAGAATCTCGTGGACCCATTGCATATGATTTTTGAAGTAGTTTGGAAGAATCTCCGCAACCCCCTTTTGTTTTGTTTTTCAAGTGGTTTAAAAGAATCTTAAGAATCCCTTGTCTGTTTTTTGAAGTAATTTGAAAAAGTCTCTGTAATCGTTTGTGTTTTGTTTTTGACGTAGTTTAAAAGAACCACAGGGACCCCTGGGTCTGATTTTTAAAGTAGTTTGAAAGAATCTCGGGAACGACTTTTGTTTTTGTTTTTCAGTAGCTTGAAAGAATATCGGGGACGCTTGTATCTGGTTTTTGAAGTAGTTTGAAAGAATCTCGGGGATCCCTTGGTTTTTTTTTTTTGAAGTAGTTCGAAAGAATCATGGGAACTCCTTGTGTCTGGTTTTTGAAGAAGTTTAAAAAAATATCGAGGCCCTCTTTTGTTCTGTTTTTGAAGTAGTTTGAAAGAATCTTAGAGATGCCTTGTCTGGTTTTTTAAGTAATTTGAAAGAATCTCGGGGATCTCTTTTATTTTTAAGCAGTTTGAAAGAATTATGGAAACTTCTTGTGTTTGGTTTTTGAAGTAGTTCGAAAGAATCACGGGAACTCCTTGTGTCTGGTTTTTGCAGAAATGTAAAAAAATCTCGGGGCCCTCTTTAGTTCTGTTTTTGAAGTAGTTTGAAAGAATCTTGGCGATCCTTGGCAAGTTTTTGAAATAAATTTGAAAAAATCTGCGAGACCCATTGTACCTGGTTTTTTGAAGTAATTTTAAAGAATCTCTGGGATCCTTTGTGTATGATTTTTGAAGTTGTTTGGAAGAATTTCAGGGATTTTGTTTTGTTTTTCAAGTGGTTTAAAAGAATCTTAGGAATCCCTTGTCTGGTTTTTGAAGTAATTTGAAAGAGTCTCTGAAACCGTTTGTGTTTTGTTTTTGACGTAGTTTAAAAGAACCACAGGGACCCCTGGGTCTGATTTTTGAAATAGTTTGAAAGAATCTCGGGAACTCCTGTTTGTTTTTGTTTTTCAGTAATTTGAAAGAATATTGGAGAAACGTTGAATCTGGGTTTTGAAGTAGTTTTTTTCTTAAGGACCTCTTTCGTTTTGTTTTTGAAGTGGTTTTGAAAGAATCTCGGGGATGCCTTATGTTTTGTTTTTGAAGTAGTTCGAAAGAATAACGGGAACTCCTTGTGTCTGATTTTTGAAGAAGCCTAAAAAAATATCGAGGTCCTCTTTTGTTCTGTTTTTGAAGCAGTTTGAAAGAATCTTAGAGATGTCTTGTCTGGTTTTTTAAGTAATTTGAAAGAATCTCGGGGATCTCTTTTATTTTTAAGCAGTTTGAAAGAATTATGGAGACTCCTTGTGTTTGGTTTTTGAAGTAGTTCGAAAGAATCACGGAAACTCCTAGTTTAAAAAAATCTGGGGGCCTTCTTTTATTCTGTTTTTGAAGTAGTTTGAAAGAATATCGGGAACCGTTTCTGTTTTTCAGTAACTTGAACGAATATCAAGGAAACCCTTGCAGCATCTGGTTTTTGAAGTAGTTTTTTGTCTTTAGGACATGTTTTGTTTTGTTTTTGAAGTGGTTTGAAAGAATCTCGGGAATCTCTTGTGTTTCGTTTTAGAAGTAGTTCGGAAGAATCACGGGAACTCCTTATGTCTGGTTTTTGAAGTAGTTTGAAAGAACCTGAAGGATTCGTTATTCATACTTTATTCAAATCACTTGTCAGATACAGAGTGCTCCAACTTCTGGCTCTATCTAGATGTAAAAAATATACATATATGGAACTATATTTTTTGGAATGTCCTCATGTAATTGATACGCCATTGTCAACACATCAGTGACAAAATATAGTGATAACAAGTTCTGTTCATAATATGTATTTTCAACATACTTTAAATTTTAAACTACTTCACAATAAACAACTTTTTGAGTAAAACTCAAAGTCAAAATTAGTCGAATTATGTCATTCATTAACAAATTTGGTTAAAACCCAAGTAATTGCTCGTGATGACTCAACATCCTCTCATAGCATTTCAACTCTACTTAAAATTGTAAACTACCTAAGAATAAACAACGTTTCGTAAACAACATGACTTGATGACGGTGACGTTGCGTTTTTAAGCAAAACTCCAACTCAAAATTATCCCAACTACGTCATCCGTTATAAATCTTAAAAATTAAAATTAATTTTCGAAATAAAAGTGAAAAAAAAAACACTCAGACCCGACAGGAATCGATATCTTCACCAAGAAGTGAGAGATTGCCTCAAAAACAAATCTTTACTTACTGTTGAGCTTGTTCCGTGCTTTCGAAAGTAACTTGCACCGTTTGTGTGGCGGGATCTTTTGAGGTAAGTTTATCACATGATACGACAGCTCCGTGTTGTAACAGAAGATGTTCGATGTCTTCGAACCGGACGTTTGGACCCAAATTGGATATAATAATTTTTGAGGTTGAACTGCAACAAAAAAAATCGTATTTAAAACATCAATTGGACACAAAATTCAAACCGACCTTAGAAAAATATTTACATTATACTGCATTATAGTCGCGGAAAAAGTGTTTCTAAATTCGGCGAAAACTTCTGATGCATTCGAATCTTATCAGTTACTAGATACACTTTACGGCGAGCTGTTGAAGCGATAGCTTATCTATTTTAAAAATGGGTATTTAATTCAGCTCCACAATAAACTGTTAAACTTGAACTCTGTCTCATTATTAATTACTCGCTTGCAAAACGACCACAATACCTACTTTTTTTACATTTATTAATAATAGTAATAATGAGTGACAATAACGAGCAAGTGCTAACATAAATTCCTTTCATGCAATAATAAACAATGTACACGTGGTTCCATTTAATTCTATCTAAGTACACAGCCACGTATTTTATAGTTCTAGATCAACGTATAGCATACTTTGTGGTGGTGAGCTGCATTATTTAAACCATCTATCCTCGTCCCTTTAACACTCAACAAATTCGGTCACTAACTCACTTATAATTCACTGAACATACAAACTAACTGACAAACAGACCAAATGCAGCACACGCGCTATCTATGTACCACAAAATCCCAGGAGTAAAGTATAAAAACATGACAAATAAGGGAGCGACGTAAGCAAACAACGATATCAGTGAGCATTATTGAGGGCATACACAACGATCCAGATCGAATATCAGCGGGCGAATACTTGTTTTTATCAACAAATTCGGCGTCAAATGGCGTCAAAAATGTGATAAGCTGACCCATTTTGCGGCCAGAAAAATCGATTACAGGTAGATAATTAGGTGTGTATATGGAGTGGGCAATGTTATGGTGGTTTCGGCTTCCGGTGCGGAGTCGCGAAGTAAGCAGCGGTCTAAAATACAAAGTACATGATTAGTGCGTTTGATTAATTCGACGGAGTGTAATTTCTCTAAAAATAATGCAATTATAGAACTGAAAAGAACGTCAAATGCTTCAAAATAACGGTCATTATTTAAATTTAGTGAAACGAACTCGACGATAATATGACAGGGAACGATTTCGTCTACTGAAGTAATTTATCTATAATTTATGGTTCTACAAGTTTTACGTATAATAAAATTTATTAATGGCGACGACAGTGTAATCTTTTTAAAATAACAACTGTTTAAGGAGAACGAAAACAATTAAGACAACTAGATAGGAAAGTTATTGCTTCTGAAGGGTATGGCAAGTTTCCGATATCTTCTCAAAATTATTATCGAAAATAAAAGGCACTGTTGGACCTCCATAGCGTTTACCGTCCCCTCCTATTCAGTACCCCAAGGGAATTAGGGTCACTGGATTGGTGCGCTGCGCTTATAGGCCGCAACACCCTGCTTTTAAATTTGAAAAATTTAACTTCTTGAAGTCGCAAGAATAAGGTAGATTTACCGATTAATTGATTTTTTTTATACAAATTCATGCTAATGGAGTCTTTGCAAGATAAAAAAAAATCATTACAGAAAATGAGAGCATGAAATATTCTTAAAACAACATTTCTTAGTCACATTTTGTTGTGGTTTTTAATCAACCGCTTAATTTGTCACTATCGCTTCAAGATTTACAAGAAATCTTTGGTGTATTTGTAAAATTACGTTATTTTAACCAATATAATGATGGTTTACTATTTCAAATGTAGAATAAAATAGATAGGATAATTCACATTTTGAAAAAAAAAACAACCTAGGTATGAAAAGAAAATTCTATTTGACAACATTAATTTGATTTGGAAACTTATCAAATAATAATAATAATTGACAGAAGAAAAGATGCAAATGAGATAAAAAAAAAATTGTATAAAGTTAGGCAGAACTTCGATTGTTTATGTTTATATATCGAAAGAATGCGACTATTAAGCACGTACTAAGCAGAAGAATTTGATTGATTTTATCTCCTCAAAGCAGAGGAAGCGACCAAAATTATTAATTAAGTTACAATGGAGTAAAACGTTCTGAATATTGTTTTGGAAAAATAGTTATTATTTTCGGGAAATTTGAATTTGTTTGGCGAAAAACTCGATGTCTAGAGTAAAAAAATCATTGTTGTTTCATAAAATTTGAATTACATTTACTATGCAATATTTTGAGGTGAGGTCATTACATGGTTGCTGGGAACGACTAAACAAATTTTGGTGAGTGATTTACCACCTACACGACATTCCTAAAACACATAAAATTTTACAACAATTGGTAAACTAGTTTCAAGGATTATTTGTCCTAAAAATCGACGCAGACAGACAGACAACAGACAGACGAAACGGGAGACCAACGTTTCTTACTCAAAAATTTTCGACTAAAAAAATTTAAAAAATTTTGAATTTCATAACTAATATTTACAAAATTTTGACCATAGTAACACTATGTTTTTGGAATCGGCACGTCGAGATCTATATCCTTAATTTTTTTGGGAATTTTTAAACAATTTTTTTTTAAATGAAAATTTTGCCAATTTCGAGCATTTTCAAAATTTAACTAAATTCATTTTCTCCTTGATTTTGGGCCGCAGAAGTCACTTCCGGCCTCGTTTCTTCGATAGTTCCAACCGTTTTTCCTGAATCGCCCACTGAAATATCAAAATTTTTAGAAGTTTCAAAAATTCCGTAGAATGGCTCTAGTTGCGCTGGAAAAGTAAAACAAGACTGGAGTGTATTTTGATAAAAAAATCTGACGTGAAAATTAAATTTTTTCATTGATCAATAAATGTTTCAATTTTTTGTATCTTTTGCGGACTTTTAAAATATATATATCTATGTTAAGACCTCCAAGTGTTCCTTAATTACACTGTTTTAGCCTCGATTCCTTTAAATTCTTGTATGTAAGGAGAGGGTGGGTGGGCGGGGCTAAGGAATACCTAGAACCTCAAGATTGTTTTAAATTTAAAAAAACAGGTCATCAGAAGTTCCCCGAATGTTTGCGAATTTTCCAAAAATAGAACACTAAAGGCCCCCAAAATTCTTTTAAATAATTTACAAAGAAAAACTCCGAAATAATACTCAAAGACTCCCCTAAATTAATAAAAAAAAACAAACAAAAAACACTACAACACTCAAGGCTTTTTCAAATTCGTAAAAAATAAACCACTAAAAGCTCAAAAGATTGTTTCAAGTTCTTCCAGCAACAAAACACCGGATTCCTTCAATTTATCCGAAAATAAAACACCAGGGGAACCCCAAACTTTTTTTGGAGTGTTTACAAAAATTAAACACTGTTTAACATTCTTTAAACTATTACAAACAAGAACACTGGCAGCTTCAAAGTTCTGAAAAAAAGCACCTGGTACCCCAAGATTCTTTGACCTTATCCTAAAAAATAAACATCAACTTTCAAAATATATACATATTCGAAATTAGATGGGGAAAAAAATTAAAGAAAAATTCTAAAAATTTAATACCCGAAAAATTGAAAAATCGGAAATTAAACGGTTTTAGAAACATGTATCGAAATTGAATTATGCAAAAGTATCAAATCGAAAAATCAGAAAACTTGGAAAATTGAAAAATCGACAAATCGAAAATAATAAAAGTAAAAGAACAAAAAACTGAAACACAGAAATAACAAAAAATTTAAAACTAGAGATGAAAAAAAAAGAACAGAAAACTGGAAAACCGAAAAACCAGAAATTGAATGGTTTTTGAAATAGTTATTCAAAATTTTGATGGGAAAATTGTGACATTAAGAAATTGCAAAACCGGAAAATTGAGAAGAATTAAAAATTTGAAAACTAGAAAAATTAGAAAACTGAAAAATCGGAAACTGAACCGTTTTAGAAACACCTATCCGAAATTATGCAAAACTTAGAAATTGAAGTCAGAAAACATGGAAAAATGAAAAATCGATAAATCGAAAATGAAATCGAAGATTGCAAAAATAAAAAAAATCGGAAAACTGAAACACGGAAAGCAAAAAATTTAAAACAAGAGATGTTGAAGACATGAGAAAAAGAAAGAATAGAAAACTGGAAAAACGGAAAAATCAGAAATTGAATAGTTCTGGAAATGTTCAACATTTTGATGGGAAATTTGTGATATTAAGAAAAATTGATTAATCGAAAAATCAAAAATTTGAAAAATTGGAAAATGGAAAATTCTAAAAATTGAATAACCGAAAAACTAAAAAATGTGAATTAAAAATTACTACATATTACTATTATTCTAAAAACAAAAAAAAAATCTAAAAATTGAAACACAGCAATAACAAAAAAATTAAAACTAGAGGTGTTGAGAATCTAAAAAAAAAGAAAGAATAGAAACTGAAAAAACCGAAAAATCAGAAATTGAACGGTTTTCTAAATATTCGAAATTTTGATAGGAAAATCTTGACATTAAGAAATTGCAAAACTGAAAAATTGAGAAACTGAACAACCGAAAAATTGGAAAATGGAAAAAATAAAGAAAAATTGAGAGATTAAGAAACTGCAAAAATTCCGATTTTTCAGTTTTTCGGTTTAATTTTTAAATAACCGAAAAACTGAAAAATCGGAAACTGAACAGTTTTAGAAATATGTGAAATTGAGATAACTTGGCAAAATAAAAATCGACAAATCGAAAATGAAATCAAAAAACTGAAATACGGAGCAACCAAAATATCAAAAATCTAAATTGAGAAGAAATGAGCTAATCTAAGATCAGAAAAATTCGAAAACGAAAAACTGGGAAATCCAAAATTATAAAAATTAAAAAATAGAAATACATATTTCTAAAAATTAAATACAAGGTGCCCTCAAAAAATAATACACCATGGTTTCGCAAGTTTTTTGAATTATTAAAAAAAAAAAAATGCTAATTCAAAACTCCTTTGAATCCATACAAAAAATGAAACACCACAAATTTAAAACATTTGTTTCTGCTCATATTGAGAAAATGTTGAATTTTTACTGCATTTTGGATTCAGAAAATTGACCATTTTTCAATCTATTGAAGAATGAGCACTTTAAAAATCCTGAAATCGTAACA